AATTGATGAGAGCAATAAGAATATTTCTTCTTGAGATGCCTGGGTAGCTCAGTGGTTGAGTGTCTGCCTTCGGCTCAGGACGTGATCCCAGGATCCGGGATCGAGCCCTGCATTGGGCTCCTTGCAGGGAGCCCACTTCTCCCTCTGTCTGTGTCTCTGCCCCCCCCCCTCTCTCTCTGTCTCTCATGAATAAACAAATAAAATCTTAAAAAAATAATATTTATTCTTGTAACATCTAGGGTTTTGTCCTTAGTTCTTGAAATGGCTATAGACCCAGAGAGGTGAAAGGAGGATCTCACTATTCATAACAAGTCCCTTTCAACCACACCTGCGTTTATGTTAATGCAGGGACTCATGGAAAACCCCTCAGGACGGGCTGCTTGTCACCAGGGAAACTGACTCTGTAATTAGAGGGTTGGGACGTACGGCCCCATCCCTGTCCTGGGGGGCAAGAGGGAAGGGGCTGGAGATGGAGTCAGTCACAAACAGCTACTGATTTAATCAGTGATGCCTATGTAATGAACCTCCATAAAAACCCTACCCTAAGGAGTTCAGAGAGCTTCTGGGTTGGTGTGCACACGGGAATTCTGGGAGGGTAGCACACCTGGGGAGGGCATGTGAGTTCTGCACCCCTTCTGCACACCTTGCTGTATGTACCTCTTCATTGGCAGGGACATGCAAGCAAATGCTTCCCTGAGTTTTGTGAGCCATTCTAGCAAACTTGTGAATCAGAGGAGGGGTTTGTGGGCAATTCTCGGTTTATAGCCAGTAGGTTGGAGGTAGGGGTGGCAATCCGGGATGTGCAGTTGGCGTGTGAGGTGGGGGCAGTCTGCCGAATTGAATCCTTCACTTGTAGGATCTGACACTGACTTTAACTAGATGGTGTCAAAATTGAGTTCAATCATAGGACACCCAGTTGGTGCCTGCAGAGAACTGGAGGGTTGTTTAGTGTGGAAGAAATCACACATCTGGTATCAGAAATGTTTGTGTGGGGGTAGAGTGTGAGTCAAATCCTAGCACTCCACTGAGTCGGTCTCAGACAGTTTAATTCACAGGGCCTTGCCTCCCACTCTGTTTTCTGGAGCTGCCTTGGTTCTGCCTGTCTTCTCCCTTGGGTCTTTACCTCCTGCCAATTCTGTGAACACCTTACAGTAATAACGTTTTCTGTTGCTTAGACCAAGAGCCCTGATTGAAAGGTAGAGGATGAATAATTCATTTGGGGAGACAAAATACATCATTGAGGGCTAAGCAGTGTCATAAAACAGCATGACAACCAAAAAACCCTCTCCTCTCCACGTTTCCACGTGTCCCTGGGAGGCTGGTGGTGCCACCCCCAGCTGAGAACCACAGGGCCTCCGTTTTGAAAGTGAGGTGGCTGCAGTGTCCACCTTGCAGAGCTATAGTGAGGATGAGAGAGTGAGGGCAAAGGGCTTGGCACACTTCCATGTGTTTTATAAACTTAAAATCAGGGCAGCTCAGGCCACAACTCACACCTGAATTTGTTTCTTTCCTTTTCTAAAGCGGCTAATTCTTTTATTTTTTCCCCCCAAGTGGATGAGGGGTCAATAGGTCTGGGATGTGGAGGCGGAGCTCTGACCAGGCAGCCTTTTCCAGCTAGGTTTAATCATTAAAACCCTGATGCTTATCTTGAATGGAGAGCCCAAGGCCCCGACTCAGGCCCGACCTCCGGTGGTGGTCACCCACGCAGGCTGGCCGTGAATTTCTAGTGCCTGCTCTGCACACTGGCAGGAGTGCTAATGACCCTGGGCTGAGAGGCCAAGGGACACAGCCCTGCACCCTACCGAGCTGCCCAGAGGAGCCAGGGAGCTTCCAGGAGCTGCCAGAAAGCGTGTTTTCTCTCCTATCAGAGGTTGCCATGGTGACCAAAGCAGGAGGGGACACCCGCTGGTCTGGCCCCAGCATAGCTCATCTTTATTCCAAGTCTTGGCTGAGCCAGTGTGGGGAGGGAGCTCCTGAGGTGGGGGAATGACATCTTGCAGAGACTGGACCCTGGCGGAGGTGAACTGTGCTGGGACATTGTGTGTGTGTGTGTGTGTGGGGTAGGTTATATTGTTGCACGTGTGCTCTGGGTGCATGGTGGGGGATGACAGTAAGGGAAGGAGGATGGTACCACGGCTGTGCCTGTCAGTGGAACCTTTCTCAAATGCCCCCCTGATCTATACCTCAGGGGACAGCTCACCTACGGGGCTGCAAGCTGCCCACCCAGAAGACCCCTTCATTTTCCACCTCCTGGAAGTCATCTGTTTGCTGCCTGTATTACTCCTGGCAGCAAGCCACTGTGAGAAAGAGTCTGAGGCCATGCTGCCTGCCCTCAAGTCTTGGCTCCACACAGAGACTGGCTCTGACCATCTTATGGAGACATCCTTCTTCCTTTGAACCCACAGCTGTTATCACTCATCATATAACTATGCTATATGTCGATTTATTTACTTATTTATTGTATGTTTCACCCACTAGCATGTAGGCTCTGTGAGGGCGGTGATGGTCTCCTGTGTCTCTAGCACCCAGGACACAGTATGTGCTCAGTAGCCTTGTTGAACGAACGGATGACTTCTCTGGGACCTCCCTGCTCTCACAAAGACTAAAACTCTGTTTTCGAGCTCAGCTGAGAGGTTGCTCCCACTCAGAAGTCCTCAAGGATACCTCACCTGCCAGGTCATTCTTTGAATTCCCCCGGGCACTGGCTTCTATTACGCTCACCACCCATTAGGCAGTTGATCTTGAGCTTTGGGAGTGTCCTGCCTCCCTGACCAGATGTCTAGCTCCTCAATAGGAAGAACACTGCTTTCTCTTTTGCGTCCTGAACACAACGCTCTAGAGACCATAGATGTTCAGTAAGTGCTGAGGATGGTGATGCTGTGAATCAGTGACCACATCCTAGCTGCAGTAGTTCTACCTCCAAACCTGCCCAGCAGAAGACCTCCTGCAAGTTCATAGGTAAGACTTTCAAGGTCAGAATGAGTCTGAATTGGTAGGCGGGATGGCTTGTGGGGCTGGCCTCAACTTCATGTTTTATCCTTCCCCCAAAACCTCATGTTTGAATATGACCGAGTCTTTGAGCCTACTTCAAACACCACTTCATTCTAGAGCCTTCCATGTTCTTTTTGAATGGAACTGATCGCTTTTTCCCCTAACAAAAAATTTTTAGCACTTTTCTGCACTGACTAGTCTTAGGTATTGACTATTTCTCTCCTTGGATCACATTAGTTACATTTCTGATGCTCCTGTGAGGTGGACCAATGTCTTCAGCATCCCTTCTGTGGGTCCTCTCCCAGCATCATTTTAGTGTTTAGAAGGGACTGTGAGTCAGAGCTCCTTGCCCACCACTCCCACCCCCAGGGATGAGGTTCGTTTTAGCCCTTACTCTGGCAAGAGCGACTGGTCTGATGGATGTATGCATGGCCAAGCAAGGCCAGTCTGAATCTTTCCACGGGATTTAAATATAGACATTTGAAGAAACAGGGCTTTTCGGCCTGAGTTTCCAGGATGCATCATTGTCAGCCTCATGGAGACCTCATTTTCATTGAGGAGGAATAAGCCTTTAGGAAGGGGAACCAAATGAGAGACAGAGACAGAAACATGATAACATCTTCAGAGCCACTGGACCCAATGGTGTCTAAAGACATACACTCCCTATTTCTATGCACTAGTGAATTCTCTCCTTTGTTTGGGCTAATTTAAGCTGGACTTCTGTTTCCTGCCACCAAAACAGGCCCCAGTCATCTCCCTGCACTCACTGTGGGATCTGTCTAGGCACTATCTAATTCCAATTCTTCCCCATACTTCTTATAGCTACTGGCTTGATAGTGCCAGTTCAACTTTAGTGTGTTTTTCAGTATAAATAAAAGAAATATATAAGTGGCCATTTCCCCTCAAACTGAATACAGGAATAAAAATACAAATTTCTAGAATCAAGAGGAAGAGGGGAAGAGAACCATTTTCCAGTGGCTACCATGCACCTGGCCTTGAAATGGCCCTGAGATAGGAATATCTCTGCTTGACAGGTCATATACAGGTAAGTAAGAAACGACCATCTGAGCCCAAGTTTTCCCAACTGCATCATTTTGACCATGTCCTCAAATGACTTCATATGTAGAAAAGTAACAGGAACATATGCTTTATAGTGTTTCAATGTTTTAAAGCCAGGAGCAAATAATACCATTTAAATAGTCTTATGGCAATACTTCATTTTCCTTTAAAATTAATCTGCACAGTCGAGGAGGTTGAGACCCAAGCACCTAGACTGAAGTCCCTTTCTATTGACGTTGGTGAGCAAAACTACTGCAGCATAAAGGTCTCTCTCCCAATCTAGAGCCCTCCTCTGAGGGCAGGGTCCGGCAGTAAGGGGACCCAAGTCTAAGCAAAGTACTGCTGTTTAATGACTGTGACAACCTCCCAGACAAATTACATGACTTTTTGGAACGTGAGTGACGTGTCTGGTATGGGAGACAGAGCTCATTTCTTCTGTCCCTGGTGTTTTTGTTGGAGGTAAGTTGGCTCCCAGGCAGGTCCCAGGGACCGCTAGGATTCCTAGACCTGAGGCTGCCAGCCTGGGAGGATGCGCCGTTGGGTATGAGGCCCACTGTGGGACCCCAGCAGGTACAGAGAGGCTCAGTGGGCTGTGTTCCTCACTCCTCTGGACTTTCCTGCTCTGGGCAACCCAGACAGCCTCCCAGCCAGGGTCACAGCACTGCTGCCAGCAGATGGAAATGAGAGAGCTCCAGCCCAGGGTGGGAGAGAAAAGAGCTCCTGGCCTGAGAGTCAGCTCCAGGGACCCTGTCTCTTCCCAGGTGACTGCAGCAACTCATTTCCCTCTCAGGGCTTCACTTCTCTCCTGCAAAACATGCAGTTTGGGCACATAGGCCTCTGCACTTCCTTCCACCTTGACACGTGCAGAGTTGAGACCACAGCGGCTGGTGGGTTATCACCATGTCACCGAGCTGCACACATGAGGGGTGGGGGCAGGGGAACCCACTTACCCACGCTCTCCCAGGGGTGTCTCCCAGTGAAGCTCCGTCTCTGACGTCCAGCGCTAATGGCTGTACCTCCACTTATCATCCAAAGCTTCTGTTTCCGTACCTGGCATAACAAGAAAAATCACAATGATTTTGAAATCACCCTGTACAAAAAAGTTCACAATTTTTCGCACCACACGCTATGGTCTGGGCTGGAGAGAGGCCTTCCGGAGATAAACCACAGACAAACCACAAACCAGAGATGTCTTGAGACTTGCCTGGGGTCACACAGCTTTGTCCGTGGGGTTTGTCTGGGGTTGGATTCATCTTCTGACTCCAAGCTGGGCTTTTACTGTCTAGAATATCGGGAAACCTTGTCTCATCTCGCTGGCATATTGTGAGGCAAGATTCTATAAAAAACACTTGTTCAGACCTTTGCACATTCAAAGTGCTCAGCCCATGCTGAATAATTGATGGGCTCTGCTCTCGGCCACTCAGAACAGACGCACAGGCCTCCTGCCACACATAGGGCTGGGAACGTGGAAACCTTTCCTATGGTTTCACCCAGTGAAAGAAGTTTCCCAGAAAATCACCAAGAAAGAGTTGTGCTTCCCTATTGCTGCGGAGAGAGGCCTTGGCTCCTGGGACCTGCAGATCTAATTTACTGCCTCAGTGAAAGGAGAGAAGAAAGCATAGGGCTGCTACAGGGAGGGGGCTGCTGGGCCACCCAGAGTCCACGACGCCACAATGTCCCCTCCAATGCTGTGAGGCCCTGGGAAAGGACTGCTCTGCTGTGACAGGCAGGGAGAAAGGTGCCTGAAAACCCTCAAGTCCCATACAGGGGACAGGCTGGCAGGCAGGGGGGAAAGGGGGAGGGGGGAGCCAAGGGAAATGCAGGGTCTGAAGCAGGGGCCCTCCTCCAGGGAGAGCCTGTCCAGGCAGGGATGCCCAGGAGGGGCTGAGCCAGCCCGTTCACCGTCCCAGCCCACCGCTGCATGTGACCAGAGCACTTTTCTGGCCAAAGGCCATGGCATTGGGGATTAGGGGGTGGAAAGCAGACACAGAGTAGCCTTTAAAGCAATTTGCAGAGATCAAAGTAGAACACAGTTCAGGCGGGTGTTCTGGCTATAAAAGTAGGGAAGGTTTCACAGCTGACTAGAACTCAGGGTGCCATTTCACAGATAAGGGCACTGAGGTGTACATGGCCCCCCGGTGGGGTGCAGGCCACCAAAGTGTCTCCCAACTAGGATTGGTCTCAGCCCCTACACGAGGCAGAGTTAGGACTACCCAAATCCACAGGATAATTGGCTTCAACTTCAAACAGACAGAGTCAACAAAGTCCAGCTCAAACGGGAATTTGTTTTGATGATGGGCTTTCTGTTTTATTCCACATCACAAGTTCCAAAGCCTCGTGGTTTTAGCAAGGACTTCCTAAGAAGTTGCATGGTGTGCTCGGTGCTTATGCAAGTCACTTCCCTCTCACAGTCGGTCTGGGCGTGCTGACCTCTCCAGGGACTGAAGGGCCCTTAGAGTCTCCCTGTGTTTGGGCAGGGCCCATCCCCAGGAGCTGGGGATGGAGGCTGGGGGTGGCCCCGGCCTGGATTCTGCTTGCCTAGCAACGTCCAGGCGGCCTGCAGCTAACCCGAGGTGTGGGACTGCACCGTCGCTGGGGTTTGGAGGGAACAGTTGGCTCAGGGAGAACAAGAAGTGGGATGCATGGCCCTGCTCCCTGCTTGTGTCAACTTGAGCTGAGTGTCGCTGGGCCGCTGAGCTGCCTGAGTCCATGGCTCCCAGAGGGCAGAGAAAGAGATGGAGCAGGTTAGGGATGGGGCAGGGGGGACAGGGTTTCACAGCCCAGTCCCAAGATTTAACTAAATATACCACCTTGGGTAATTGATTTAACCCACTAGGCCTCAAGTTCCTCATCTGTGAAATGGGGGTCATAATGGAATCGATCTCAAAGCTTTGGAAGGATCCAATGAGATAGAGTGTACCTGAATTCTTAGTCACGCCCCTACTAGGACTGCCTCCTCCCATCCATGCAAACCATTCAAGTTAGCTCATGTACATCTGTGTGCTCCAGAATGTTCCGAACATCACCTCTCTGTCAGCTCGGTACTCTGGGCTGCTCAAATTGTCTTTTCTAACCTGCAACCCTGATCAGACTCCACACTGCTTGAGGGCAAGATCATTGTCTCATTGTGATACAATGTCTATTATTGATCTTAAAACCCTTCGTAGGTGGAGTGAGTTCTGTGCAGTTGCGTCAGGCTAGCTGGAACGAGGGTGCATTTAACAAAGGTACGTTCAAATTGGGACTCCCTACTCCGGGCCAGCAGCCTCAAGCAGAGGGTCGTGCTCCAGAGGGAGCTATGGCAGGTGTTTTGGCTGTCTTTCTCTCTGCTCAACACTGGGCATCTGATAATTAAAAGAGTAAATGTTAGAAATGCATTCTCCTTGGTGAAAACAGAGGTATTCAAGATATGTGGCTTGGCCAAAATTACTTGAGACACTCTTGACCTGAAAAGGTAGGGGGAAAGATACTAGTGAGCTCTTAGGGGAGGTGTGGTCAGGGCACCTAGAGAGATGGATAGCTGTGACCTCACCGAGTCCCCAGAGCAAGCTGTGTGAATTCTGTTGGACCTGTCTGCAAATACATGGTTGTTCAAAAAATGTATGTACATGTATGGCAGACTTTGGTCTGAGGCTTGCTTTCATCCAAGCTGCAAACGAAGTTCCTCTTTACCTTTGTCAGAGTTTGCAGTGGTTACTGTTCAACAAATGTACAAACGACAAGCCACCGAAGCCTGAGAGTCATGACCAATTGGGCTTAGTCAGTTCATAGTATCTCAGCATCCCCAGGGCACAGCACATGTCAATGCTCACAGGACTAAGGAGATAGTGTCACTTTTAACTTTAAGGGGCTGAGGGTAAGGGGACAGCCAGGGCCCTAAGAGGCCTCCCAGGTATGGATCCTGATCTAGAACCTTCCTGGGCATGCATCACCCTGAGAGTTCCCCAGCTGGCCTCTGGGGCTGAAGTGCCCAGCTCACACTCCAGAGGCTCTATTGGTTTCCTGGAATGAGGAAATGCTGCTCGGCTGTCAATAAACCCCGAAACTATGGCCACAGTGGAGGTCACTGTCTGGGCCCATTTTGTACCTGGAAAACCAGCTCTGAGCTGGGCCTTCCTTTCCAGGTCTCAAGGGACAAGCCCTATGAGGAAGTCTCCTGGGACCCATCACTAGCTCCCACAGTTATATCAGATTCTGTGTGTGTGTGTGTGTGTGTGTGTGTGTGTGTGTTTGGGGGTGGGGTGGGGCAGATTTCTGGCCATGCTGGAGAGATTGTCTTGAAGAAATGGAGCTCAGGCTATTCTCCTGGATAAGCTGAACGCTTGCCCCTTCTGGGGCTCTGCAAAGGCTGCTGGGGGTGAGGAAGCCCCTGATGCCGGAATGCTCTCCTCCACTCCTAGAGATGAGAGACCTTCCTTGACACTGCCCTGGGCACTCCCTTCTCTAAGGGCTTTTTCTGGGTGAGCACTGTTCAGAGTCAGGGTAGCAGGGGTGGGTAGCATTGAGGAGGAAAGCAGACGATGTGGGGAGTGCCAGCCTCTAACCTCTCCTCTTGCCCTCCTTCTTTCTCCTTTTCTTTGTCTCCCACACTTCAGAGAGAAAGGGGGAGGGCTGGAGGGGGGTGGCTGGGGAGGGAAGCTCTGGGCTTTCCTGCACCAGGGCAACTGTCCTAACCATGGAAAAGCTGACATTTGCAGCCTTCCAAACTCATGTTGGCAACTCGACCCTCTAGAGCCGCCCAAACTCTACAGGCTGATGGCCAAGTTGCCGCTAAACCCCTTCGCCATCTCCAGACTCTTCCTCCCCGCTCCCACCCTCTCTGCAGCCCCTCCCCAGGCCTTTGAGGTCTGCCTCAGGATCACTTCAGAATTTGCCTTTTCCTTCCCTTGTCCTCACCCCAAACCAAATTCCAGGGTACATTTGCCTCTTGAGAGCCATCCTGGCTAATCCTAGGAGATTCCCGATGAGCAAGAACTCCCTCACCCCTCTTCTGTAAACCGGGGAGCAAACTGGTCAGCTTATCATTCATCTTCCAGCTTTGCAAGTAGCTCAACATCGCAGTCAAGCACAGAACCACTGCCACTTAGAGTACAGCTCCTGGAGGAGTCTAAAGATTCCAGGTGCCTGTGTAGGGCCGTAGGAGCTTTCCATGAGCACAATTTACCTAGAGAAAACCATCCAAGTGTGTGAGAAGCCTAACAAGCAGTTTCTTCCCCCTTGGCCTGGGGCTCTGTGGGTCTCCCTCAGCAAATAGTTAGGCACAGTCTTAATTTACTTCCCCGCCAGAGCCCCTCTTTGGATGGAGGCCAAGCTGGTAGATACGGAAACAGGACTATTAATTTTGTGGAAATCCACGCATGTATTTGGGAGGACAAGACAGGAACAAGTGTGTGAAAAGTTGAGGGACTTCGGGTGGGCACGGAGGAGAAGTGGCTGAAGGAAAACTCCTCTCTCCACTTCAGGCAAGCAGGGTTGAAGCGAGCCAGGCCCGACTGCAAAGCCTTTCAGGCTCCTGATGTAAGAAATGGATTTCCTGGCTCCACGGGGTCCCTCAGGATGGTAAGGGACAGTCCCAGGACCCAGGATGAGCCCTGCCACACAGCTCTCATTTTCTCTGGGTGCAACTGGTTTCCTCCCCCTCTCTGGGCCTCTCCCCTCAGATCTCCTAAAGCAGCCTTCCTTTGAGGGCACTGTCTTCGGAGTCAGACATGTGAGGCTGACTCTCCCTCCTCTTTCACTAGCCACCTGAGCTGTGCAGAGTTCCCGAGTCTCTTGGGAGTCCCAGGGGCAAAATGGGGATACGATGTCCCCTCCCAGGGCCATCGTGAGAACAAAATGACCAACGGATGCAAAGTGTTTTCAAGCAGTGCCTGCTCGGTAAATGTACCCTGAAAAGAGCTGTCATCTTTATCCACTCTAAGCACAGCTCATGGCTGCTTTGCCAAACCTCTTAAAAACATGCTAGCAGGAACTAGTGGACGCGGTCAGGTCAGAGGCGCCATGGCCACCTCTGCTCTTCCACGACTTTGCCCAGCACTGTCCCCTTTCCATCCCCTGCCTGGGGGCGGCAGGACCAACTCTGGGGCATCAGAAGGGAAGTTGTTTGGAGCCATGGCTCCCCTGGGCCCTTAGGGGATTCTCCTGTTGATGGGGATCTGAGCTCATCCCACCTGGGATTCACCAGGAATGGCTGGGAGTGGATGGAAATTTAATCTGGGAGTTCATGCCTGTGGGTGGAAGATGAGGTCGTGGCCCACCAACCTAGAACCAGCCTCCCTTCCAGACCTCCTCAGGAGGAACCACATGCCACAGAGAATGAAAACCAGATACAGACAATAAGAGATTATTTTAAAAGTAGAACATCTAACCTGACTTGGTGGAAGGAGACACCTGTGTCCTAGCCAAGGACCATAGACATTCCTGCCTTCTCTTAATGACGCCCCCCCCCGGGGGGGGCGGGGCCCAGTCTCAAGGCTGACCTGCTCCTTCCCCTGGGGCCCTTGGGGCTGCACCGTTCCCTCTGATCAAACTGGCCTCAGCCGGGCCCTGGGTCACTTCTGAGTTAGGGATTGCTTCCTTGGGGCAAGAACTTCATGTCACTGAGCCTGAAGTAGGTTGGAGGGGACAGGGCGGGCTTAGACACGACCGGCAGTCTGGGAGCAGACTGGTGACCCAGTGGGGCTCCTCCCTCCCAGACCGTGCCCCCCACATCTCCATCCAGATCTTAGCCGTGGACCGGGGCGGCAAGGAGATGGGAGATAGCGTCCAGCAGGCTGTCCCACTCCCCAGGAGACAAGCGAGCCCCCGGCGACGATGGGGGGGGGGGCCGGCTCTCCCGGGGCGGGTTGGGGGTGTCCATCCAGGGTCTCCCCAGCCCCGCTGCACCAGGCTGCACTGTCTGCAGGTGCCTGCTCCGGGGACCCGCGGCCCCGAGCCCCCTCCCGCAGCCGCCACCAGCCGCAGCCCCTGCCCCAGTCCTGGGAACGTCCCCGCCCGGGTCGCGACCTACCTTCCCCGGCGCTCCAAGGCCCCTTCGGAGGGGGGTGGACGAGCTCCCCTCCTCCTCCTCCTCCTCCTCCTCCTCCTCCTCCTCCTCCTCCTCCGCACGCGGCTCCCGGCGCCCAGCCTCTGGCCCCGGCTCGGGGCTGAGCCCGCTTCTGCCTCCCTTTCTCTCCTCTCCCGTGAATTCTCAGCACTATTCTTTTTTTTTAAGGGACTTTTTTTTTTTTTTTTTTTTTTTTTTTTTTTTTTGCGCGTTGCGTCAGGGCTGTTGCCTGGCGACGGCGGAGCTATTCCGCGGGAGCGGGCCGCCGCGCAGTCCGAGCCCCGCCGGCCTCCGGTGCCTCCGGGCCGGGTCCTAAAGCCCCGCTGGTGGCCCTGCCCGCGGGGCCGAGCCGAGCCGCCGCCCAGCCGCCGGGGAAGCAGAGCACACGCTTTGCCAAACCCTAGACAAACCAAACCCAAATGCCTTTTTTTTTTTTTTTTTAATTAAACCCGCAACCCGGGCAGTCTTCCCCCCAAACATGTTAACGTGGCTTTGCCGCTGTCAGCAGCCTGCCTGCGTGGAGGGGACCGGAGGAGCCCCTTGCAGGCGGCCGGAGTTCAGGCTACTCGCAGCACATCCCGTGGCCGAGGGCCTCACCTGGGCCACACGTCGGGGCCTCTGCGGGGCAGGTGTGGGCATCTCCGGCTTGCGGATGAGGAAACTGAGTCTTAGAGAGGCCAAGTGGGAACCAGAGGTTAATCGGAAACAGACGCTCTTCCAGATTGGTCTCCCAGACGAGCTGGGACTGGTCCAGAGGGGCCTGGCCCAGAGCACGTGTTTTCCCCCACAAACCACAGGGTGCCTTTGGGCTGCACTACTATGTGCCGTGGCAACCACTAGCGATAGTTATATTCTAAGGTCCAGTCTCTGCTCCACCAGAGCCTACGGCTCCAGGCAGCTACAACACATAGGGACCCAGCCAGGGCTGCCCCATCCTGGCCTTTAAGGTGGGTCCTGACTGGAGACCCAGGGCTCCAGTCCAGAGCTTAAGGACTCCTTTCCTCCTGGAACCTCTGACCCCAGGGCTGATTTCTGGAAGTTGGCTTCATTCTTAGGGCAGCCTGGGACATGGCCAAGTTCCTTTCCTAAGACACTTGAGGTTGGCAAGATCCTTCAGAATGACCTAATCTGCCATCCTCACAACACCAGACGGCTGGGGGGGGTGTGTGGGGTGGGGGTGGTGGTGGTGCAGGGCAGGCTTTGTTTTCCCATGAACAGATGAGCACACCAAGCTGTGGGGCCACGAAGTGACCTGCCCCAGGTTCCAGGGGCTGGGCTGGTGGTGGCAACTCAGTCCCCACAGATCCCCATCCCTTTGTGCTGCCCCCTGGTGTCCCGTCCTTCCTCCTTTGCTGCAATTCCTCATCTGAGTCCTGTCCCATTCCTTTCCTTTCTGCCTTCACTAGGACGTCAGCTGGGGGACTTTGTCTAAGGAGACATCCTGCTGATGTGAGCACCCCTTCACGCTAACAGGTTAATGTTTCTAGCTAGCAAATGTACTAAAACAGGGATTTTTGGGGGAAAGTCACATCATTGACCAAACCTTGATTCTAGAAATAGTGATCCAATCCTTCCACCTCTTCCCATCCCCTTTGCCATCACCCTGGCTCAAGTCACTGTCAGCTTGCCCCAGCTACAGCAGCAGCGTCTTACTGACCATGTTGCCCCACTCTTGCCCCTTCCGCTGAGCCAGTTACTCATCCACAGCCAGAGCACACTTTTCCAAATAGAAATCCAATCTTGGCTTCTCCCTGCTTAGAACCTTCCAATAGTTCCTGTTCCTCTCAAGATTAAAACCCAGCATGGCCCATCAGGCCTGCATGGTCTGGCTCTGCTCACCCCTTGGATTCTACCTTGCATTGCAACTCTGCTCTTCTGGGTCCTTCTCCACACCCACTCCTTCTACATGGAGTAGTACTTCTGCCTCCTAAGGGAACCCCAGGTTACACATTCTCATAGCCTTACCTACCTGTCCTTCATGGACCGGTTGTAAGTTTTATCTTTATTTGTGAAGTTATTTGATTAATATCTGTCACCCTCTAAGGCTGTAGGCTCAAAGGGACAGGAACCATGTTTGCAGGCTGGGGGCTTGCTTCAGACTCAGGGACTCTGTATATATACTCTTGGGCTCGCTGTACCTGGCCAGACGGGCCTGTGCTGAATACTTAGCATTTGCCCTTCTGCTGTCTAGTGTATTTTGGCCCTAGTATCTGGAAATTCTAACATTTTCACTCTCCTATCCCCTCATTCAGCATGGGGCTCCTGCTCCGCTTTCCTATGAGTGCACTGTCTTCTGTCTTCACATAGATAGGCAGCCTGTCCAGGGCAGGGATGGGGTCTTACCTGGTGCCTCCTGGGCAGGAGGGTAATCAGTGATGAAGATCAGGAGAGTCAGCGAGGAGGGAGGAGCAGAGAAGGAGGAGAAACTGGGTCTCTGTTGGAACAGTCTCAACCCTAATATCTAACCATATGCAGTGGTCAAACAAGTTATATTTAGAGCTTGAGCATAGAGTAGGATGCAGTCATACAGATATTTTCAAAAACTATTTGATGATGTAGGAAAATGTTACTGATTTCATGCTAAGTAAATAGGGCAGGGATACCACGTGTCTAAGTAAATAAGACATTATGAAAGCTTTAATTCTAATATCTAATGTCCAATTTTTTATACGTGTAGAAAAAAGATTGGGAGGGTATATGCATGTATTAGCTGTGGTTATCTGTGGATAGTAGAATAATAGGATTTAAAATTTCTTCTATAGATTTGCATTAATTCTCTGTGTTTCCTACAATGAATAGTTTTTGTGATTAGCAACATTAGGAAATACCGCTACAAACTAAACATGGCCCAGTGTTTGGGGTATGTGACATCCCCTGCTTTCTATGGCCTTTTATGTCTTTTATGTGGGGGTGCTGTGAGGCTAGGCTGGAGCTCAGCGATGGGTGGGGGATCCCCAGGCCCAGAGCAGAGGACCATCTGGGCGCTCGCCCACTCCAGTTGGCCATGTGGACCAGGAAACAGCGGGCCAAGCCTTTGGGAACGAGTCAGGACAGCACACTGGTTCTAGGACTGCCTCTTGGCTATCCAAGGTTAACCTCTTGGTTATCCAAATTGGTCCAGGTATCCAATTTGACTTTCAAGGGGTAAGATGTGATGTTGGATGACATGGCCCGCCCAGGTGTCTGGAGCACTCGAGTGAGCACATATGCTGGCTGGCAGTGGCCTCACTGACAGTGCAGCACTTTACAGGTTACAGAGCCATCTCCTTTCCAGCCGTTCAGAGATGAGTGAGACAATGTGTCTCTTGTTCCTACAGAAATCCTGTGAAATGAGGGAGTCCAGAAATATTCTTCCTCTTACCTACAAGGATGCTGAACTTGGAAAGGTTAGGGGACTTCCACAAAGTCACATGGTTGATAGTGGCAGGACTCCCAGGACTGTCAGTGCAGAGTCTAAGGCACAGCCTGTGATGGGCCCCTGATCCTACAGTCCCTGTGAGCAACGGGCAAGGCAGCTTCAGTGATCATAATGTGTTCAATCTGTGCATGGCAGGCAGGGATGGCCTCATAAATGAGGTAACTATAGAACAAAGATTTGAAGGAGAGGAGGGAGTTGGTTACTAGGTATCTGAGGGAAGTAACAGAGGGAACAACTATGACAAAGGTGCCTTGCGAACAAATGTATTTGACCCAGTCAAGGAAAAGCAAGGAGAGTGCTTTTGGGGAAGGGTGACAAGAGTTGTAGGAGAGGACACCGGGGAGGTGACACGGTGGAGATACTGGGGCACATCCTGTGGACCTGGCAGGCCATTGTAAGGCCTTGCCTTCCTCCCAAGGGAATGCATAGAATGCACAGCTGTGGGGGTCTCTGCCTTCTCGGCCCATCTAAATTCATCTCACCTTCTCCCACTGGAGACTTTTTATGCTACTCAAGGGCAAACTCCACTGTCTAAGGCTGCTGTGTATCCCTCATGGTGGTTAAAATTTGGTCCCCATTCACTGAATGAGACAAGGAAGGAAGACATTTCTCTTTGTCCACATTGTATGAGACCATGGAGGGGTGACGCCCTCTCCTGCTCCAGGGAGCAATTAGGATTTGCAGTCCTGGGCCAGAGTCCACTAGCTTCCACCATCTGCCCTAGGAGAGACTTTTCCATCCAGGGGCCCCAGTGTTTCAAGAGGATCCAGGAAGTGTTTGTCATTTGGCATTAATGCTAGCAACAATAATGGCTGTTTTCTGCCCTTATCTCTCAGAAGGGGTTCATTTGGGCTGAAACATGGAAGGGAGCCCGGGGGCCAGTTCCCATCTTGTGGGGAGCTCATTAGGTCAATGAGCATTTGTAGGTGGCTCACTCTGTGTGCCCAGGTACTAAGCATTGGGGTATGGTGCCTGGGAAGATAATTAACAAGAACTGACTTTAGAACTGGACTCAGGGAAGTGATGGATGTCATCCAGGCCCAGATGAGAAGGATGAATGGGAACTGGTTAGGAGAAGTTTTGGGGAGGCCTGGCAGTGGCAGTGGAGGGTGGCAAGAGAGGGAAGGGCAAAAATGCACTTGAGCAGATGGCAAGAGGCCACAATGGACCCAGAATAAGCCTTTGGAGATGATCCTGAAGGAATGGGTTAAGAAGGGAGCAGGTTGTGGCTTTTGTATCTCAGAGAGGCTGGACGGGTGTGGGGACAAGACAGGAAGCAAGGTGACCAATAAAGAGATCATTTGCATTTCACTGAGGGTGGGAGGCGCTGAAATCTAGACCCATGACAGGGAGGGGCTCACTGCTTTTCCTGGGTGAGGATGGGTGTTGGGGAAGTAGCATGGTGAAGGGGAACAGCTGGTATCTGGAGGCAGGCAGATCCACGTTCAAGTCCTGGCCTGTAAAAAGTCACTCAAGTTTTCTAAGCTGCAGTTACTTCATCTATAAAACATAAATAATTTTAATAGTACTATCCTCCTAATGGGCAAGAGGGCCTGCCTTGTATCCCACACTATAGAGAGCCCTGCTCTGGGCCTCTCAGGAAGGGTG